CAATTTTTCAGCGCTCAGCTTTTTTTATAGTCCAACTCTCACATTCATACATGACTGCTGGAAAAACCATGGCTTTGACTAGATGGACCTTTGTTGGCAAAGTAATGTCTCTGTTTTTTGTTTTTTTTTAATGTCTCTGCTTTTTAATATGCTGTCTAGGTTACTTCCAAGGAGCAAGTATCTTTTAATTTCATGACTGCAGTCACCAACTGCAGTGATTTTGGAGCCCCCAAAAACAAAGTCTGTCACTGTTTCCATTGTTTCCCCATCTATTTGCCATGAAGTGATGGGACCAGATGCCATGATCTTAGTTTTCTGAATGTTGAGTTTTAAGAAGACTTTTTTGCTCTCCTCTTTCACTTTCATCAAGAGGCTCTTTAGTTCTTCCAGCCTGGCATTTTGTGTGATATACTCTGCACATAAGTTAAATAAGCAGGGTAACAATATACAACCTTGATGTACTCCTTTCCCTATTTGGTACCAGTCTGTTGTTCCATGTCCAGTTCTAACTGTTGCCTCTTGACCTGCATACAGTTTTCTCAGGAGGCAGGTAAGGTGGTCTGGTAGTCCCGTCTCTTTAAGAATTTTCCACAGTTTGTTGTGATCCACACAGTAAAAGGCTTTGGCATGGTCAACGAAGCAGAAGTAGATGTTTTTCTGGAACTCTTGCTTTTCTGATGATCCAGTGGATGTTGGCAATTTGATCTCTGGTTCCTCTGCCTTTTCTAAGTCCAGCTTGAACATCTGGAAGTTCATGGTTCACGTACTGTTGAAGCCTGGCTTGGAGAATTTTGAGTATTACTTTGTTAGCGTGTGAGATGAGTGAAATTGTGCAGCAGTTTGAACATTCTTTGTCATTGCCTTTCTTTGGGATTGGAATGAAAGCTGATCTTTTCCAGTCCTGTGGCTACTGCTGAGTTTTCCAAATTTGCTGGGGTATGGAGTGCAGCACTTTCACAGCATCATCTTTTAGGATTTGAAATAGCTCAACTGGAATTCCATCACCTCCACTAGCTTTGTTCTTAGTGAGGCTTCCTAAGGCCCACTTGACTTCACATTCCAGGATGTCTGGCTCTAGGTGAGTGATCACACCATCATGGTTATCTGGGCCATGAACATCTTTTTTGTATAGTTCTTTCATATATTTTTGCCATCTCTTTTTAATGTCTTCTGTTTCTGTTAGGTCCATACTATTTCTGTCCTTTATTGAGCCCATCTTTGCATGAAATGTTCCCTTGGTATTACTAATTTTCTTGAAGAGATGTCTAGTCTCTCCCATTCTATTGTTTTCCTCTATTTCTTAACATTTGATCACTGATGAAGGCTTTCTTATATCTCCTTGCTGTTCTTTGGAACTCTGCATTCAGATGGATATATCTTTCCTTGTCTCCTTTGCCTTTCACTTCTCTTCTTTTCTCAGCTATTTCTAAGGCCTCCTCAGACAACCATTTTGCCTTTTTGCATTTCTTTTTCTTGGGGATGGTCTTGATCACTGCCTCCTGTACAATGTCATGAACCTCTGTTCATCATTCTTCAGGCAATCCATATATCAGATCTAATCCCTTGAATCTGTTTGTCACTTCCACTGTATAATTGGAAGGGATTTGATTTAAGTCATATCTGAATGGTCTAGTGGTTTTCCCTAGTTTCTTCAATTTAAGTCTGAATTTGGTAATAAGGAGTTCATGATCTGAGCCACAGTCAGCTCTCAGTTTTGTTCTTGCTGACTGTAGAGAGCTTCTCCATCTTTGGCTGCAAAGAATATAATCAATCTGATTTTGGTGTTGACCATCTGGTGATGTCAATGTGTAGAGCCTTATCTTGTGTTGTGGGAGGAGAGTGTTTGCTATGACCAGTGTGTTCTCTTGGAAAAACTCTGTTAGCCTTTGCCCTGCTTCATTCTATATTCCAAGGCCAAATTTGCCTGTTACTCCAGGTATCTCTTGACTTTCTACTTTTGCATTCCAGAGGCTCTTAAAATAGTTTAATTAAGAGATGACACGGCCTGAAGTGGGCAACGGTAGGGGAAGAGTGAGGTGTCACTTGACTCCTGAGACAGGAGTTAAGAAATGACAGGACTTGGTTGATGGGAGGCATTAGAATGTAGTCCTTGGAAGGTGTAGGCTGTGCTGCCCAACCGCTTAGTTTCTAAATCACACTCTGCCACTTTAGTGGCTATGGACCTTGGGCAAGTTACTTCATCCTTCTTACCTGTTTTCTTATTTGTAAAATGGGAATAATGACAGCACTTATTTCTTAGGTGTGTTGTGAAGATTAAACTAGTTGAGACATAGTGCCTGAAACAGTCAGTACCCAGCACATAAGCCCTCCATAAGTGTTAGTTGCTATTTTCTTGTTAAGATAATAATAAATATGGTTATTACTGTATTATTGGATATGAAGAGTAAAAGAGATTAAGGAAATAATGATAAATTCCAGGTTTCTAATCTGAGCAACTCAATGGAATGAGGTATTTTTTTATAAGATGGGACATTGGAGAAATAACAGAATTGAGAGAGAAAACTGTAAGTTCAATTTTTTTTTTTTGCGGCCACACCACACAGCTTTTGGAATCTTTGTTCCTAGACCAGGGAATGAACCTGAGCCATGACAGTGAAAGCCCAGAATCCTAACCACTAGAGTAGTGGGGAACTCCTGTAAATGCAACTTTTTTCATGAAGACTATTTTTTAGAGCAGTTGTAGGTTTACAACAGGTTAGAGAGGATGGTACAGAGATTCCCATATACCCCCACTTCCACACATGTGCACCCTCCCCATAATCAACATTTGTTACAACCGAAGAACCTACATTGATGCATCATTGTCTCCCAAAGTCCATAGTTTATAAGTCCAGTTTTTGGTAAGTTGAATGAGAGGTGCCTGTAGCACTTCCAAGTGGAGATGTCTAGCAGGCTATAGTATATAAATATTTGTAGTTCATTAGAGAGTTCTGGGATGGAGATATAGATTTGGGAATCATCCACACAGGTTAATTCAAATCATGGACATGGATAAGCTTGCCAAGTCAAGCGTTTAAGGCAGCAGCCCAGTGGTTAATACTGTTCAAGGTTCTTTCTCTTCTCTTTAGTAAGCATATTAGTGATCTATTGCTGTGTTTACCCCAAAACTTAGTTACTTAAAAAAACCGCTATTTGAGACCTCCTAGTTGGGCTTCCCTGGTGGCTCAGAGGTTAAAGTGTCTGCCTGCAATGCGGGAGACCCAAGTTCGATCCCTGAGTCGGGATGATCCCTTGGAGAAGGAAATGGCAACCCACTCCAGTATCCTTGCCTGGAGAATCCCATGGACGGAGGAGCCTGGTAGGCTAGAGTCCACTTGGTCACAAAGAGTCTGACATGACTGAGCGACTTCACTTTCACTTTCTTTGGTGGTTCAGTGGTTAAGAATCCACACTTCAACTGCAGAGGGCGGTTTTTAATCCCTGGTTGGGGAACTATGGCAACCCACTCCAGTGTTCTTGCCTGGAGAATCCCATGGACAGAGGAGCCTGGTGGGCTACAGTCCATGGGGTCGTAGAGTCGGACACAACTGAGGGACTTCACTCACTTTGGGGAACTAAGATACCTGCTTGCCCTCAGCGTACCAAAACAAAAACAAAAGACACACCCAAACCCAACAGCTGTTATCTCACAGTTTCTTTCTGTCCGTGAATATGACACAGTTGAGTTGGGTTCCTCTGACTCAGGGTCACTCCCAAACGTGCAGTCAATGTGTCAGCCAGGGCTGCAGGCATGTCAAAGCATATAGGACTACAAAGTACATTAAAAAAAAAAAAAGATGAAAAATCCAGCAGATCCTACTTGTGGTCACACTCTGTAACTTCCAAGGCTAAGTCAGAAGAGGCCATAGAGCTTCTGCCCGTCTCTTTCTTGGGATGCTCAGCTTCCACACCCAGTTGCCAGGCTGTGAAGAAGCTCAGGCCACAGGGAAGGAAACGTCAACGTGTTCCAGCTGATAGTTTCCACAGAGGTCCTGACATCACCGTGTGTCTGCATGTCAGTAAGGAAGCCTCGGGCTCTCAGGATCTATTCCTACTACTTTCCACTAGTTCTCGTTTCAGCCCATCTTTGCCATAAAGTTGTCACAAAGAGGAAATGAAGAAATAGTTAAGGGTAAAGAGAGGAGACTGGCGGGCTACAGTCAGTAATGTCGCAAAGAGTCAGACACAACTGGAGCAACTTAGCACGCACGCCTTGAACGGAGCCTAACACTTAATACCCGGTTACCATTAGCTACTTTTATGATTATTTAAAAAGTTTTTATTAGCTCTTAATACTTTGCTTTTCAGTGTCTAATGAAGAAATAAAGAATTCCAAATCTAATGGATTAATTATTTTCCCTTCAGCGCCCCATATGCTTGCTGACATAACTAGCTCTTTACCCAGGTTTAATTACCTCTTTGCGCTCGTTTGCACATCTGATACGGGGGATATGTGGATCGTGTACTAGGACGGCGTTAGGACCTAAACTGATGTCTGGGGCGTGGCTGTTGAGACATGAACAAGGCCTAGACGAGGCGGGCGCAGGTGAGAAGAGCCGAACCCACTTAGGAGACCGACTTGTAAATCAGTGTGGTCTCTCATTCCTATGCAACCTCAGGCAATGGACTCCCTGCCTTACCGTTCCGTTTCCCCTTCGGCAGAAAAAAGAAATTTATTATTTCCTGTGCTTCCTCTCTAACAGGGTTGCTGTGACGATCCTGAAATAGGATGTGGGGAGAACCCTCCGTTATTCCAAACCTGGAGCCTTAGAAATGCGAGGGAGAAGGGAAAGGCCGTAACCTGACAAACTCGGTCCTCTCAAGCCTGTGCGAGCTTGTCCTAGAACGTCTCATCTCTATGGTACATGAGTTCGAATTCCGGGGCCCCCTAAGTTACTCTTCCGGGGGGAATTGCTACCGCTTCCGGGGCGGGACGCGGCGAGAGGGGTTTGCGGTTCCTCAGCCCGCTCCTGGCCGGTGTCTCAGCTTTCGTTGCAGTAATGAGCTTTCTCAGAAGTTTTCCGCCGCCCGGGTCGGCCCAGGGCCTACGGCAGCAGCAACCAGACACCGAGGCTGTGCTGAACGGGAAGGACCTCGGCACCGGCACTCTTTACATCGCTGAAAGGTGGGGTCTCTGTTTCCGAGGGCTGGCTTCCTGCGCGCCTCGTCCCTGCCGGGAGCGGGCGGTGCGGAGTAACGTGGGGGAGACGGAGACCTCTGAGGCCGTGGGGCGGGGGAGCGCGTGCCCCGCTTTGCCTCGGAGGTGCCTCTGCTGAGGAGAAGACTCGTGTGTTTCAGTGTCCTCTCCTCGGAGCCCTGTCTCTTCGTCAGACGGTGTTCGCCTCATTCATTGTGCTTTCTGCCCACCTGTTTACCGGAGGCTGCTTTTTATTCAAGGTCTCATTGTAAGGTTTTGAGTTTCCAGGCCCTGAGTGGAGAAGAGTCATCGAAGTGCCTGCCTCGTCGATGATCAGGAATGGGAGGTGTTGCCCTGGGTAGGATATGTAGGTTTAGAGCAAATTGTGCATGATTTTTAAAGCTTGGTTAAGGGGGTATAGGTTTTCTTCTGTAGGTGTGAGTGGGGAGAGGAACGCCTGCAACCCCACGCTGGTTGGGGTTGTAATCCAGAGGGACCTAACTCTCATTTCGTTCCTAGAAGGAATTGCCCTTTTATTTGGGTACCTGAAGCATTTTTTACTTTCATAGACTCGTTTTATATGTTGAGATTGTAGAAGTTCTCATTTCCATGACGTATGGTTCCATTCATCTTCAAGCCAACAGTCATGCATTCAGTCTTTCCTGTCCGTTACCTCTCTCTGTATTCTGTATCAGTTTTGTCTGCAGCCAGAGAAAATTCCCTACTTTTAAGAAGTCACATGATTATGTTGGACCCACACAGATAATCCAGGGTAATCTCTCTTTTCTTGTGAACTGATTAGTAATTACATACACAAAGTCCATTCTGCCAGGTAACATATTCACAGATGTGACATCAGGAGATGTGAGAGTCATAGGGGCCCAAATCCTCCCTGCCACAGCAGGCACAAAAAGATGTAAAGAAGCCCTTGGTTTCAAAGGAAATCTAGTCATTGAACAAAGCTTAGGTTTCTGGCCAGTCACAGATAGGAAATTTGGATGGGAGGAAGGTCAGATTTGGGGTAAGGTACAGATAATGAGTGTGGTCTGCAGATGTGTGGATTAGTTGCACATATGAGCATATTTCTTGGGAGAGTTGTGTTAAAAGATGGATAGATTAGATACTTGAGAAGAGAGGGCCAAGGATAGAACCTTTGGAACACATCTACACAAGGTATGTTGTAGAAGAAGAGACTTGAGGAAAAAGAGAGGAGTGGTCAAATAAAATCAAATCTTAAAAGCACCTGTTGGGTACTGACAAGAAGACCTTCAGAGATCTTGCGAGAGCAATTTCTTTCAAGGCGTGGAAAGTGGAACACAGATATATTCTTAGCCCCTACACAGTCCCCCTTTTCTCCATGACTTCCCTGTGTATTGTCTCTTGTATAATATAAATCCTATTAGGGGAAGGTCATTTGGATCAATTTCAAAACTAAAGAAAAGTCGCAAGTGTTGTAAATTAATAGCCATAGCTCCTTCACAGAGATTAGTCAGTTGTTAACATTTGGCCTCTTTCTCTTTTTTTTCTGAGCTTTTTGAGTTGCAGACATGTCATCACTTCACCTTTAAATACTTGAGCCAAAATCTAAGGATAAGGACATTCTCTTGTATAACCATAGTGAGGAAGTACGAACTCCTTTTAAGGTCTTAACTGTTTAAAAAATTATTTATTTCAACTTTTTATTAACATCTCTTCCTTTAAGGAAGTATTTTCATAAAATATACATACAAAAAATATGAATTATAAATAGATGGTTTAAGGAATTATATTTAAACTAATACCTGCATAGCACCTCAAGGTTAAGAGTAGAATATTACCAGTACCTTAGACACTGTTTTTCATCCCTCTTTACTTACTATTAGCCTTACCTCTTTGGATTCTTGCCCCTTTTTGTTCTTTCCCACCTAGCATTTCCACATCTTTCTTTTTTTTTGGTCTGCGTTGGGTCTTCCTTGCTTTGTGCATGCTTTCTCTAGTTGCGGTGAGTGGGGATACTCTTTGTTATGGTGTTCAGGCTTCTTGTGGAGCACAGGGCTCTAGGCACATGGGTTTCAGTAGTTGAGCACGTGGGCACCAATAGTTGAGGCACACAGGCTTTGTTGGCCCATGGTGTGTGAAATCTTCCTGTTCCAGGGATCAAATCTGTGTCCCTCGCACTGGCAGTGGATTCTTATCCTCTGTGCCACCAGGGAAGTCCCCGTATCTTGACAGAATCAAGATCTCAACAAACTGGGAATGCTTCGTAGAGGATGTGACAAATGAGGATTGACAGCCAGGTAAATGAGGTGGGTCTGAGAGGAAACATTCTATTTAGAAGAAACAGGATACTCAGAGGCAAGGGTGAGAAACAGTATTATGTGTGCCTGGATATATAGTGTGTGCTCACACACACACATACGCACAGTCAAACAGTTCTTTTATCTGAGGGACCAATGGAGAAAAAGTGGAAACATAGTAAAGCTGGAGAAGGAGCTTTCCTGATGCCTCAGTGGTAAAGAATCCGCCTGCCAGTGCAAAGGACGCGGGTTCAATCCCTGATCCAGGAAGATCCTGCATGCTGCCGAGCTACTGAGCTCCTGCGCCACAGTCGTTGAGCCTGTGCTGTAGAGTCTGGGAGCCACAGGCCCAAGCCTGTGCACCCTGGAACCGGTGCTCCGCAGCGAGGGGCCATCGCAGCGAGAAACCTACGCACCACAGTAGAGAAGAGCAGCGTGCAGCGCCGAAGACCCAGCACGGCCGAAAATAACATAGCTGGAGAAGGAGGGAGCCATGTTCACGAGCTTGGCTTATAGCCTAAAGGCTTTCTGATAACTACTTTAGAGTTTTAGGCAAAGAGGAACAGGGTCTGATTTGTTTCTAGGTAGTTTTTCAGATGTAGATTGAGAGATTTCGAACTCTTTTGGACTTATTTTCAAAGCTTAGTTTTCAAAGGAATTTGACTTTTTGTCCAAATGAAGAAAGGAGCAGAGGCATGAATCATTCAAAATATATCATTTGAAACAAGTGAAATATTTAAATTAAAAATAGGTAATTTAAACTTATAAGTAATGCTCTTTTTATATTTATTCCCAAATCAATTTTAAACCAGATAATTAAGCCAACCTAAATTCAAGACCTCTCTTAATTTTCTTTCCTGTCTTTCCCCCCATGCCAGGAATAAAGTACACTGTTAATTCTTGTGCGGAAGCATTGGCGGATAGCACAACATTTCCTCTGTATCTTGACTGGCTTCCCGATTCTTGTTTTTCCCTTATGTGACTCATGGTTTCTTTGGGACTGGATATATAGTTAGGGCTTTCCTGGTGGCTCAGACAGTAAAGAATCTACCTGCAATAGGAGAGACCTGGATTTGATCCCTGGGCTGGAAAGATCCCCTGGAGGAGGGCATGGCAACCCACTCCAGTATTCTTGTCTGGAGAAGCCCCATGGACAGAGGAACCCGGCGTCCGTGGGGTCGCAAAGAGTCAGACACGACTGAGCAGCTAAGCCCAGCACAGGGTCTAGTTAGATAGTTTGGTTTTGAAGAGCTTTTCTTCTAGAATAAATGAAAAGAAAATAAAAAATCAGAACTTAATAATGAGAGTAAATGTTGCTTTTGAATGAAACTTTCTTCTGTTCTGTTGAGTATATGGTCCATGTTCCTGTATAAGATTATGAGCACTCCACAGGAAATGCTCTGGTGAGATAGCATTTGTTCTGCCAGCAGTAAGGAACTACAGAGCAATTATTATGTGGTTTTTAAAGTGAAAGCCATAATTTATAGGCACTGAGTCTGTGCTTGTTTTTCAGCTTTTCCATCTCCTAATTGAGTCATCAAAGAAAATTTTGTGGCTCTGGGTATTTCAAATCATTTTGGATACTGAAATTTGGAATACTCCTTTCTGAATTATGATAATGCCAGGGGATTTTTGAGGTGAGAAAAAGGAGTTTATTTGCTTTAAATAATATAGTTTTAATAAGGAACTGGCAGTACTTCTGTGATGCCTGAGCACTACTTCTTCTCCACACTAAGAGGAAAGCAATAGTGGAAAGGCCCATAGAGCACATGCAATCTCACTGCAATAATAAAATCTACTTCTTTGGACCCAATGGGATGAGTTATTCTAGAGCTTTTACCACTTTAAAAAGCTTCCCAGTTTTTCATTTTCAGTAAAATGAAAATGTGTTGAAACCTTTCTCAGTGATGGTGCTTTTTTTTTTTTTTAAGTGTACAGTTCCTCATGTTTTAGTGTGTTTACAGAGTTGTACAATTTTCACCACAATCTAATTCTGCCTTGGCATTTATAAGTGAGAGTCAAGTGTTACACACTTGTATTGTGCTATTAGCCATTGATTTCCTTTAGGGGGATTGAGGTGTAAAGCTCAGCCTCCCCTTACATTGAGCGTGAATGCTCTCAGACTGCTGCACTCTCATTGTTCCCACACAAGAAGTCCTAAGTTCTACAGTTGTGTTTGTTTTTGCCTCCTTAGATATCAGACTGCCAGGCTTGTTACAGTTGTATAGAAAATAGAATGATATGGGGTTTTTATTGCATGAACCTCTTTTTAAAATAAAAGCTTCATTGACCTAATTTACATAGCATGCAGTCCATGTATTTAAGTGTGTGTGTGTGTAGGACTGCCCTGGTGGATCAGCAGTAAAGAATCAGATCAGGAGCAGCAGGAGACACGGGTTCAGTTCCTGGGTGGGGAAGATCCCCTGGAGGAGGTCATGGCAACCCACTCTACTATTCTTGTGTGGAGAATTCCATGGACAAAGGAGCCTGGTGGGCTACAGTCCATGGGGTCACAAAGAGTCAGACGTGACTGAAGCGACTCAGCATGCATACATATAGTAATAAATAACATACATGAATATGTTATATATTAATAAATAGTTAACGTATAACAGAATTGTGCAGCCGTCAACACAGTCAGTATTATTTTTGATTTCTTACTTATTTTTTGGCCATGTTGCACAGCCTGTGGGATCTTAGTTCCCTGACCAAGGATTGAATCTGGGCTCCAACACTGAAAGCACCAAGTCATAACCACTGGACCGCCAGGGAATTCCCAACACAATTTTAGACTATTTTCATTGCCCCCCAAAGAAACTGACACCCATTAGTAGTCACTTTCTATTTTCTTCCAGCCCTGTGCAACCAGTATAGTGGATTAGCTTTTATTTTATTAACATTTTCTGTGGGTTCTTAAGCATCTTTTCTGTGACTTTTTTTTCCTGCTAAATGATGCAGTTCCAGATGGGTGAAATATTACCAAAAAAATCAACCAGTCCTTACTCAAAACTCAGTGTACTGATTTTCCTGATACTTTTCCTCTGTTAAAGCAATAAAATATTTGCATTGACCACTTTTGAGGGATAACTAGACATTGCTTATTTGTGGCTTTCCCCTTAAGTTGTAAAATAAATGAAAGGCTCCATAAAGTCTGCTTTTCAATGTGATGATTATTTTCCAACTTGTGTTATTACAGCCATTTCATGTGTATGTTATTTAATGTAGGATTAGTGGAGAAATTAGTGCTTCTTGGGTATTCATTGCGTATTTACATGCTAAACACTGTGGCAGTGGTTTTGAAGAATGTTAAAGCTTCATCCAGTAACTCATGTTCTGTCCGGATACATATAAAATTCATTACACAGAGTTAGGTGCTCAGTAGTATATTACTGAGCCTAAGTGCGGTTTAGGAAAAGAAGGGATCATTATGCACTGGAGTAGTCAAAGAGAGGGTTTATGGAAAGACTGGGACTTACCCAGACAAAGAAGATTTGCCAAAGCAAAGAAGATGCCTGAAGACATTCCAAACAAGCATAAAAAGGCATAGAAACACACATGTGACTTAAGAAAAATAGCATTTCAAATCTGTTTGGATATTTAGATAGGGGAAAGTGAACTATTAACAGAATTGTCTTAAATTCCTGCTGTGAATTTTCTTTTAGGAAATTTCTAAACAATATGCTTGAATTTATTCACATATATATTAATATGTGTCCAGGCTGAACCTTTATAAATGTTAGGACATCAAATTAGGATTTAATTTCTCCAAATAATCCACTTAACACATGTTTTTCAGCCGCCTGTCTTGGTTAGATGGCTCTGGATTAGGATTCTCCCTGGAATACCCCACCATTAGTTTGCATGCAGTATCCAGGGACCTAAACGCCTATCCACGAGAGCATCTGTATGTTATGGTGAATGCCAAATTTGGAGGTATGTATGGTATAATTTAATCTTGAGCTTCCTTTGGTAGTATATTTTAAAAAGCAGTCACTGATGATAATCAATGTAGTATTCAAGCCATTCACTTATTTTGGATAATACTTTCTTAAGCAAAATTTCAGCACAGTAAAATAATTTGCACACTGCCTTTTATTTTCTACATATTGATAGTTGCACTTAAATTTATTTAGCTTTTACGCATTTGCATTTCTTGTTTCTCCTCTTGAGTTTGTTATTGTTTCTCTGTGTAAAGGCATTTATCTTTAGTACCCTTAGAGGCTTGGATCAGTATGCTTCCCTTCTAAGAGTTTATATACAACCTGTTTTGTTTTGTTATAGAAATAGTTCTTAATGGTGGACATGTTGCCCTTTCCTGACATTTGGCAGTTAACATTTTGTCGTGGCATTTTTGTCATCACTAGAGTGGAGAGGAGTGCTACTGGCATCTAGTTAGAGGCCAGGGGTACTACTAAACACCCTACAATTCCTAGGACAGGCTCCCACAACAGAGAATTGAATTAACCAGTCCAAATGTCAGTAGTCTCAAGATTGAGAAACTCTGTGGTACAAGATTCCCAGGTCTTGCAGATGGAAGAAGCAGCAGAATCATAAAAATCTAGTGTGGTTGATGAAAGAAGAAGTAAGAAAGATTTTAAAAATCCATTTTTTAGGGTCGCCATAATGAATTCCCTAATTGCTCAGTTGGTAAAGAATTTGCCTGAAAAAAAAAAAAGAATCTGCCTGCAATGCGGGAGATGTGGGTTGGGAAGATTCCTTGGAGAAGGGGAAGGCTACCCACTCCAGTATTCTGGCCTGGAGAATTCCGTGGACTGCATAGTCCGTGGGGTCACAGAGTCAGACAGGACTGAGCCACTTTCACAATGAGTTTCAAGAATTCTGGGTGAGAAACAAGTTAGGCATGAAATAAACACTTATGCTTGATTTTTTAAGTATAACTAAAGAAGTTTATGTAGTATATTAGTTTAATATGTTCATCCTTTGTCAGCATGAATAACTTTGGAGTTGAAAGACTATTGTTACATCTTTAGTAAACTTTTGATTTGAAGATAGTGCTTTGCTTTTCTTTGAAATAGCATGTAAGAAACAGTGCCATGAATTCTCCTGTTGAACTATTGCTCCTCCAATTTGGGATTTTAGTATGGTTTCAGATACAAGATGAGCATTTATATTTGTGATACTAATTATTTAATAATTTTTAAGACTTTTGGCACACCTGCCTCATTAAGTGATAATGACTGATTCGGCGATTTGAAAATATTTTTGGTGTGACATTTAAAACTCTTGCCATTGGGAAGTGTCCAAAAGTAGGTAAAAATCTAGTGGAGTTTGAAAGAGGGTAAGGAAAAGTAAAAAGCTGTTGACCTTGTGTTGTAGTGAGACTTCCAGATGAGGTGGCCTTAGACACAAAGTTCACTTTCCATCTAAGTAACTGCAACTATGATTTTATAACCAAGAGTTTATATGTCATGTTGAGTTGAAAGCTTTCATTCATTCATTCATATATAGACATTAAATTTTATTTATTTCTATTTATTTTTATTATTTGTTTATTTATTTGGCCATGCTACAAGGCTGGTAGAATCTTAGTTGCTTGGCCAGGGATGGAATGCAAGGCCCTGGCAGTGAGAGATCCGAGTTCTAACCGCTGAACTGCCAGGGAATCCACCCCCCCTGCACCCACCACCCACGCTCCCCGCCCTTTTTTTTGCCATTCATTTGTAGGTGTGAAATTTTAGAGATACTCTTGTTAGTTTTAAATTCTGGTGTGACATGCTCATAGTGTAGAGCATTGGCATTGGGCATGTCAGAAAATAAAGTTAGGTCGGGTTTGAATAAAGCTAGCTAAAAGGAAAAGCACCCTTAATAAGAAAACTGTGTCATTAACTTGGTAGGCAAGTCATTTTCATCTCTCTGGGCCTCCATTTTATCCAGAATAATTAGGGCATTGTAGTAATTTTTAGTTTTTAAACCTGGCTGCACATTAGAAGCACTTTGGGAACTTGTTAAAAATACAAATTTTGGGAGCCCCAAACTAGGTAATAAGGATTTGGTAGGTTTGGGGTAGGTATTTTAAGCATTTATTCTATATGATTATCTCCTTGAGATAGATGGAATTAAAACTCTTACTAAAATAAGTAAAACTTTTCTATCTTACTAGGGAGTAGTTTTTTCCCCTTACCTTTATTTTAATACTTCTCCATTTCTATTTATCTGGAACTGCACTTTTATAAGTTACACAGATGTGGATCCTGTTTTTCCAGCCTGTGGTCCTCTTGTCCCGATTCTTCAAGCCCTATATATATATATATATATATATTTTTTTTTTTTTTTCCTGTTTGGCTTACCTCCATTAACCACTAAAGTGGACCATCATCTTATTGTTGAGAACATTAAATTATTTTTTAAATGACTAAAAAAAATACATTCCCATTTCTAAAATTTTAGAAACGTTTAAGGAGACAGAGTATGGTGGTCACTACTGTGATCTAGTATGAGATGATTAATGATTGTCATAGTGGTTTTTTCCTCCTAATTGTAAAAATGCTATATTACATTTCTCTTTACTGCCTTAAGATAGATACCTGTAGATATATAAAAGAAGGTGTTAATAATGGTTATTTCTAGGGAGAGTACTAGAGGGGTAGGGACTTTTTACTTGGAATCCATCTTGACTCTTTCCATTATTTTTGTACCAGCTTGAATTTATGGTTTGAAAAGTGATGTCCATTCAGTTATAGAACAATAGTTATAGTATGATACCGTTTTTTAAAATGCATTGAAAAAGTTTGGTAGTACCATAATGTATTCAGCTACTAAGAATTTTTTAGAACTGTCCAATATTTTTGTATTTTACTATTTTACAGAAGACACATCTATTTTATGTAACAATTTAATAACATTAGAAACAGGACAGAAAAGTTCTATTATATCTGTTACTTAAAGCTAATAGTGGTCATTTAAAATTTTGTGTTTTTTGCTTATCTGTATTTTTTCATTATTCAGTGAACTTGCATGACTTATAAAAATAAAAGTTAAAAAATATATAGTGGGTACCCCCTTATTAAAAAGTTCTTAACATATATTGTCAGCATGCTTTCTAGAAAGTATATACTTTGAATGCCTTTCTGCTTTTTCTTCACCTATATGGAGAATTAACATTTTTTCAAAATGGCAGCTGTAATATGCTAAATAAAAGTTGTATTTTTAAGATGATTTGTTGAACATGTTTTGGTGGTTTGGGGGTCTATTTGTTTTATTCACCTTTTTTAAAAAAATTATGAAATAATTCATATGTGGAAAGTTCAGAATATTTTTTTTAAAATTTTCATTTAATACCCAGTGTAAATTCTAACATTTTTTCATAATTAGTCTAAAAGAAATAAAATTATATTAATACTATAGAAATCTTTTTTATATCCATCCCCCTTTCATTCCTAATTCTGTCTCCAGAGTTTTTCTTTTTTTCTTTCACTGGATCACCAGGGAGGGCCTCCCTGGGTGACCAGAGTTTTTCTTAAAGATGATGTGTGTCCTTCCTGTCTATGCTTTTAGATTTTTACTGAGTATATATATACCCTTAAGCAATATAATGGTTCTCTTTTGTGTTTAGAACTTTAATGTAAATGGTATTATATATTCTCCAGTGAGCTCTTTCACTCAATTATGTTTTAAAGTTCCTTCATTTTGATACATACAAATCACATTTATTCATTTTCAGATGTTATCTACTGAACATAATATGATCAAGTTACAATACATCTATTTCCTTTTTTTAAATTAACATTTATTTCTTATATTTTCTATAGTACATAAAGTACTTCAGGGAACATTCAGGTACTTAGATGAAGAGTTGCTGGATAATAGGATATATACATCTGGAGTAATTTTAGCAATTTCCACTTTTACCAGCAGGATGTGCTGGTTCTCTTTATTGAACATTTGTAGTTTTTTCTTGCCAACAGACTTTATTAATTTATCTTTTGAGTCAGTTAATTTTTATGGGCCTTAGTTTTCTTATCTGTGAATTGTTGGTGATGAATCACATCAGTGGTTTACAGACTGCTGCTGAACCCATTGTTTCATGGTGAAAGAAACAGCATGACAGTGAAACTCTAATTGTTAGAGGTCTGACTGTTTGGGTTTCCTCACCCCTGCCATGATGTTGGGGCTTGGTATCCTTAGAACCTCAAGTACAGTCTGACTAGATCAGAGAGACTGTCCAGAGTCTTTTTTTAGCTCTAAAATAACCATGTTTTAATAATTGGGAGTAAAAAAAAATGCAATATTTAGGTGTATCAGTAAACATCCTTTAAGAAATTCTTTTAAGATTCTATTTTTAAACATAAACATCATTAAAAAACTTTTTTAATATACTTTCTAGAAGAATCAAAAGAATCGGTTGCTGATGAAGAAGAGGAAGATAGTGATGATGACATTGAACCTATTGCTGAATTTAGATTTGTGCCTAGTGATAAATCAGCATGTGAGTATTCTGTAGAACTGATTTTTTCCCTTTAAGTACCAAGCATTCTCTCTATCCCCTGCCCCCATCTCACAAACAGACACACACACACACACACTCACTTACCTTCATACTCATTTGTTGTTACTGTTTGTTGTTTTAGTAGCTAAGTTGTATCTGACTCTTTTGTGACCCCATGGACTGTAGCCTACCAGGCTCATCTGTCCATGGGATTTCCCAGGCAAGAATACTGGAGTGGGTTGCCATTTCCTTCTGCAGAGTATCTTCCCAGCCCGGGGATCGAACCCATGTCTCCTGCGTTAGCAGACGGATTCTTCACCACTGAGCCACCAGGGAAGCCCTCACTCTTGTTACCTCTGTTCTATTGCTTTTTCTTCATTTTAGCATCTGTAATATTGTTGAGGACCAGATACCTATTAATATAAAGATTGTGAATGTGGTGAGTGTAGTAGATACCATGTTCCTGGTGTGTTTTGGGAATGGAGGAATTGCTATTTATGGACTTGGTGCTGTTGACTGTGAATCTCACTGGATAGAGGACAGAGGGCTTATGGCAATTCCAAAGTGGATGATGCCAGGACAACTGGAAGAAGCGCCTCACCCTGATGCCAGCAGTCTGACCAGGACTCTGATGCTTTTTCTTGGAAAATCCAATAAGGCGTGAAGAGATCTCAGTAATATTTCAAAAAGACCTCTTATAATATTTTATGGCTTGTCCATTGCCGTCAAGATTGATTTTCCTTGGAATTTGGCATATTTTGTAAATACTGTAACCCTCTATACCTCTTGGAGAAGGAAATGGCAACCCACTCCAGTATCTTGCCTGGAGAATCCCATGGACAGAGGAGTCTGGTGGGCTACAGTCCTTGGGGTTGCAAGAGTCAGACACGACTTAGCGACTAAATCACCATCAGTATACCTCTTATCTACTCATTAAATTTATTTGCCCTGATGGTTGTCTTATTATATTTTTATTGTACATTAATCAGAAAAAAATTAATGAGAAATTTTTAATTTACTTGTTCAGTGGAGGCCTTGTTCACTGCAATGTGTGAGTGCCAGGCTTTGCATCCAGATCCTGAGGATGAAGATTCAGATGATTATGATGGAGACGAATATGATGTGGAAGCCCATGGTTAGTGAAGTGGATTTTTTTAAGTGTTTGTGTATGTATTTAAAACATTTGTGTATGTGTGTTTCATTTTAAACATGTATTTGTATAGCATATGGGATTATATTTCTTTGTATCTCTGAAGTATCCATGTAACTTGGTTTTTAGTAAAAGTGAGTGGCACAATTCATCTCTCAGTCAAGTTAGAAAATGTTACAGGAGTCCCAAGCTTGAGCACAAAACATAGAGATATGTTTTCTTCCCCCCTCTGGGGGGAAAAAATAGAAATAAATGGAAGGAAAGACTATGATAAGATAGTGGGTAGTTGGGAAAATCTTTTTAAGTTGATGAAGTTGCTCCCAGAAAACAAGCCTTCTCTCTCCACCTCTTGGAACCTGTATCATCTACATCTTTAATGTGTTCCCTAAACCTCCTCATTGCCAAGGTGATGTCTTTTTCCCAGAACCATACTTCATTTATCTAAGATTATCTCCCTTTACCTCCCCAGAGCAAAATATAGTCACTAGCTTGGTATAGAGTCTTGTTACTTGAGGTGTCTGCTGTTCTCTTCTCTTTTCTCATGGATACCAGTTTGGCTCCCTAAAGCTGTTGCCTCCACATGTACCACCTCCTGGCCTGAGACAGACTCATTTCTGGGATTCTGCTTTATATATACCTAAATACATCCTCATCTTTGCTGAAGTTTCAGGGTAATTTAGTTTTTAAATCCTATTTGTATTTTCCAGAATTTCTGATGTTTTAAAAGCAGGATGCATTTTAATCAGGAAAAAAGACTCGTAAAATTCCCACCTTGGGATAAAACTCTGTAACCTTAGGAACACCCTCTTTTCCTTCTAGTCCCTGGACATTTGATTCTTTGGGAATTGCTATATACTGGCTTGTTATCTCTTAGAATCCCTTCTCATTTTAGAGAGTAGAGACATTTTCTGTATATCTTTGTCTTCAATAGATGGTTGGTGTGTGTATGTTGAATAAATGTTGAGTGTTTTCCTTGAAGCCTTTTTTCACTGTGCCTTATCTTCAGTAGATGCATTATTGATTGTCTTTTTTCCCCCTGTTTTAAAATGGCTTAAAAGCTTTTTATTTATTTAGAACAAGGGCAGGGGGACATCCCTACATTTTATACCTATGAAGAAGGATTATCCCATTTAACAGCAGAAGGCCAAGCCACACTGGAGAGATTGGAAGGAATGCTTTCTCAGTCTGTGAGCAGCCAGTATAACATGGCTGGAGTCCGGACAGAAGATTCAATGACAGATTATGAAGGTGAGTACTCAGAATTAATTCATTATAGTGTAGGAAGCAAATGTAGAAATACGTAGAATGGGAATTATATGTAAATTTTAAAAAACTTTTTTCCCTAACTCGCAAAAATTTGTGTTTTGTATTCTTTTGACTCAGCCTTTATCATTTGTTCCCTGCCAGTCTAATACTGAGTGCTATGGATTTTTCCTTTAAATGACTGTTTTCAGATCTCCTTGCTATAACTACTGCTGTGCTCCAAACATAGGTCCTTTTTTCCTCACACTGGATTTATAGTAGGAAATATTTTGCCTCAAATCATTCTTTCCTCCACCTCACTGCGCCATATTAATCTTCTGAGAACATTCGGTGTCATTGATATTCACCATATAAATTCTCTTGGGCTCTGGAGAGACACCTCTGTCTCTGCGCCACTTGTCTCCAGTCTTGTACCTGCTACCCTCAAGAAAATATTCAGGTAGTGTTCTTATGTCTGAAATCCTGATGGAAGCACATTATATGTATTTACTCATTTAATCCTTCCAAGAACCTCTGGTAGATGTTGTTTAGCTGCTTCAGTAGTGTCTGACTCTCTGCGACCTTATGGACCTTATGGGCTGGGCTCCTCAGTCCATGGGATTTCCCAGGCAAGAATACTGGAGTGGGTTGCCATTTCCTTCTCCACAGTAGATGCTGTTATGATCCCCATTTTATAGATGAAGAAACTGAGGCACAGAAAGGTCACATACCTAGTTTGCAGTCAAATAGCTAATCAGTGGTAAGGGGATTAAATAAGCTAATGTGTAAAAACAACCTGCCAGATACTATTATGAGCATATCTTGCATCCTCTATGTATTCAGTTCAGTATTTTGTATTGCTACAGAATCTTAACACTTATAATTTTTAGTGATGCAGAATGTTCTTAAAGAGGATTGCCGTAATTTTTCTTTTATTGATATTTATGTATCTCTCATAATGTGATCATTATCTCCATGCACATAGTGTTCTGCCCTGAGGGTCCTGAAGTTCTGGGATATTTAATATGGAACAATTTAGGCTGTGAGTCACGTTACTGTTCGTTAGGTCTCCTCTCCGTTTTAAGCCCTACATGGTGAGCCTCTAACACGCTCTAGGGTTAGGTGACTCAGATGTTTCTAGTGCTGTGCCGAAATCTTAGATGAAAGAATTCAAGATACATCTTTTTTTACTACAGAGATTAGCAGAAGAGTACCCTTGGACATTAAAAAACCTTTCATCACTGAAGGCTTTTTTTGTTGTTTTTAATTATAGAGCTTTTTATTTAATGCTTTATAGCAACTGACTTTAAGGTCACAAACACTTGTTGCTAAAGTGAGATAATTGGACTTGTATTCCTAAGCCTCACTGGCATATTGAGTTGCCTGTACATAAAACTTCTTCAGCTTAAACCATTTGCTGTCTTCTTAAGTTCTGGGTACCCACATCACTCTTGTTTCCACTTATTTAGTTTGACCTGTGCAATTTCTTTTTTTAAATTTATTTTTAAAATAATATATTCATGGTATGCAACATGATGTTCTGATAAATCCATAGTGAAATTTCAACTGGTGGCATTTCAGTGCTTCATGTGTTTGTTTATGTAAGAGGTATTTGTTGAGCTACTGTGGCAGGTAGAGAGAATACAGGAGTGCCTAAGAAAGATGCAGTTTTATCTATCAATGGCATTCTAGTGGAGAGAAAAAGAAATTAACTAGTTAGGTAGTATTAGTACATTGTGGTACAACATTTGAGATAAAGGGGAAGCTTGAGGAACTATGGAATCAGAGGCTGGACAGTCAGGGAGAGATTCAAACTTCATGGAGTAAGTGACATTTAAGCCAAAGTCTGAAGATAAAAATGAACCAAGTGAAGAGGGATTACATACAGTTTGGGGAGAGAGGCAGGTCAGGGTGTCAGTCATGTGTGAAGGATCAAGAGACCATTCAGCTTTGGGGAACTGAAAGTTCATTATATCTGGACTTGAGTGTGATGGGTAGCTATTATAGCAACAGATAAAGGTGGAATAGTGAACTGGACTATATAGTAAAGGAACTTGAAAGCTGTGTTAATGTCAACCTGTGTTTAAGTCAGTGGGAAACCATTGAAGAATTTTAGTTTGATTAGTGTTTCAGAAGATGACTCTGGCTGTGATACAAAAAATTAATTGCAGAGGGAACTACTAGAGGAAAGAACAGAAGCCCTATTAAGTAGCTTATGATTTAAATTAGATGAGAGATAGTGGCCTAATTAGGGAGTGGCAGTAATGTCAAAAGACTGAACAAATTTGAGAGGTATTTAAGAGATAGAAGCAACAGAAGTTAGAGATATGGTAGGGTTTCTGGGTTGGGCAAATAAGTATCCTTTTGGAAAGGGATGTATTTTCTATGTGGAAAGATGAGTTATTTTTTTTTTTTGAGTTAATTTTATATAAGTGTTTTATTTGTATGTCCTGCTGAATGTCCGGGTGGTGGGGTGCCAGTGGGCTGTGGGCAGAAGCCAGTTTGTGGTGGGCTAAAGAGTTGAGTGTGAGTAGGAGGTGAAGAAGTGGAGAAAACAGCTTTAGACAGCTCTTTCCAGAGGGCTTTTTTTTTTGTTTGTTCTCCCCATCTTTTTTTTTTTTAATGAGATTTAAAAAACAGAGATAAGTAAGAATCTCACTTTACTAATTTATTTCAGTCTTTTCTATTGAATTATGTTGTAAGCTTAGATGGTACTTCATGCTTTAAAAAAAGAAGTCACACGGTAAAACACCTAGCAGTTCTGTGAAGAGTGAAAAACGGATGCTTGCTGCATTTGAAAGTCCCTGCCTGGAGTTCTTTTCAGTGCTGAGACTGAGAGTTGCAAAGTAAAAGTGAAATACAAAGACTAATTTTAACTTGGCCTAAATCCACAGGTGGCATTTTTCTTTGTCTGTTCCTTGGTAGTTTCAATTTTCAAGAGAAAGAAATAGCAACTCTTACCAGCAGAGGGCGCTAGCTTCCTTCTGGTTGAAATCTAAGCTGACTCTTCACTATGGGAAGTGCTTAGTAGACTTGCTAACTGGTTAATTTTTTCTTCAGATGGGATGGAGGTAGATACTACACCAACAGTTGCTGGACAGTTTGAGGATGCAGATGTTGATCACTGAAGATGATGGATGCTGCTTTAGGGTGAGTATTTTCTCCCTTGTCACTGAACATGAAAATCATGTGAAACAATTGATTTTTATTTTCAGATTTGAGGAGAACTGTAACAAATTAGCAGTTGTGGGAAAATGTTGTTTAATTCATTTATGAAATTACTTGAAACTGTGTAGTTTTTGCCTCTAAGAAATCAAGATCTGCCAGCATGGGTAATGTTCAGGTTAACATTTACTGAGCACTTACTAGCTGCCAAGCACTTTGCTCAGCATTGAGAGAACATGGAAGAATAGACACTGATCTTCAGTGAGTCAGGAGAAGGACATTACCCTTTGTTGAAAAGCAGATCTCTCTGGTTGACTCATGTGGGAGTAGCAGAATTTGAGGTCATGTCCTGCTCTGCTCTTGAGTCAACTTTTCCCACTTAAAATATTTGAAACCTTATCATCTCATCAAAAACACAAAACAGATTTGCCGCAATAATTCACAAAGCAGATTATTGCTTTTGTGAATATAACATCTTATAGTAAACATGAATTATGATAATGAATCTCAGCTTTCCTCTCAGCTGCTGCCTGTGGAACTATTAGAAAATAACCTTAAAAGTTCTGTGATTTATGTCTCTTTATTTCTATGACAATTTACTTCTGTCATTGGTAGCCATATAATCTAAAATCAGCAGTTAGCTTAAAGTATGTGTTAACATTGTTGGAGCTCTGTTAATATAAAATTTCAGATTTCACAGTTCTGGATATCAGTATTTCACTGTTGAAATAATACTTTATGGGAAATCTTTCAATACCAATATGTCTTCTTTCCTTATTGCTGAGATTCTTATTTATCACATTCTTCATAGTATATGGATTTTTTTCAGTAATTTTTGTTAAAACTGGAAAACATATTTTTTTATCTGACTTTAACATATTTCTTCTTGAAAAGGGACTATTCAAAGAATACCAACTACTCTATTAATAAGATGGAGAAACTTATTTGGTATGTCACTAATGGTTACACAAAAGGAATGTTACAGCATTTTTCTGGTGAGAATTCATAGGATTCTTTGTAATACAATTTTTATGATGAAATAACTGTAAAATAGCCACAAACTTTCTAATGAGCTGATAATTTGTTTTATGTTCATTTTGTGCTACAGCTGGAGCAAAGAGAGATTTTTATTCAAAAAGTTTATGCATGTTCTTCATCTGGATAATGAATTAATTATCCAGAATTAATCTTAATTAATTAATCTTAATTCCAAACAATGTCTGTAAATTTTTAATCATTTAAAATTACATTTGCCTTTGAGGCGAGAATAAGAAATAATTCGAGTATGTAGGCAGGTATTAAAAATTTCAAGATAATGAAACTAAGACCTCTCGATGCACAAGATAGAGTGGGGGAGAAGGCACATGAGTGGTGGAATCACAGCTCCACTATATTACCAGCTCTGTGCCTTCAGACAAGGAGTATAACTTCTATAATTCTCAGTTTCCCCTTTGACAAATGAAGATGATAGTAACTACCTGGCAGGATTATTGCAAAGATTGAAATATAACATCTGTAAGTCCTCTGGCACTCATGACCAGGCATTTAATAAATAATAGCTATTAGTATAAACACTGTAAACCTTTTGTTTTTCAGATTCTGCTCATAACTGTAGGAGAGAACTTGGTGCCTCTTCCACTGTGGAGTGGGTGTTGATGAAAGTCTTTTTCTTTCTCCAAAACTTACCTGAACCAGTTCTTTCTTGAGACAGAGTATCCTGAGACAAGAAGCTGTCACCAGCACAAGAAACTATGACCTTTATTAACAAAGGTGGATTAACTTAACCAGGAGGGCTATTTGTAGTTTATGATTTACCCCAAACCTTTGTGTCTAGGTGTACCCTCTGAGTAGGCCTATGATTCCCACCTTCACTATATGCATCCTCAAAACCTAGTAGGACTAAGTGGCGGAAATGCACTGGCATTTGAAGGTGTAGGTACACTGTGTGGGAAAGAAAGGCTGAATCTAAGCTATACTCCTTAGGGCCTAAGGATACCCTTAACTCCTTAAAAAAAAACAGAGGTCGCAGAGAAATCCTGATCTCTGCACTTTCCACAGGGATAAAGGTCTTTTTACTAATTGGGGACCCAGGTCAGTTAACTCTAGGGAGCCTCTTCAGAAATAGCCCAGCCACACGTGCTACCACTAACATAAGTGCTCCTCCTTAGCCTTTGCTCCTTTCACCATGTTTCAGCATTCTGTTCTGTTATAACCGCTTAGGTTGTATCCTTTCATTTCCAGCCTCTCAGGTCAGTTTCTGTAAAAGAACAAGCGAAATGGGGATGAAGTTCTCAAAGTATTTCAGATAATTGTTTTGTCTTTGTGATAGCTTAACAAATAAATTTAGGTTTTCTATATTATTGTGCTCTCATTCTTGACTAAAACTATTAATGAGAAACATTTTTTTAAAAATGAGTGTTTTGACAAAAAATGAGATTCTTGTTGGTCTTTGACTTTTGTTGAGAATGTGAACATGGAATGAGTGAGAAATGTATAGGTCTTCTGAAAGACAGGGCAAGGTCATAACACATTGCAGAGGGATTTCTGCTTCTTCCATTTGAATCAGGAGTGATTTCTCATAGCATACTTTTCAACTCTCAGTTTTCAGAGATACCTCTCAGGCTGATTTAGAATTACAGGTTTATACCTGGACTTTATGACCAAAAAAAAAAAGGTTAGAAAAGCTCTTCACAATTACCTGACTGACTAGTGACTAAACTAATTTGTCACTACTAAAGCCAGTGTTCTTTTCAGCCCTTTTACTTGGTTTCCCTCCTCTTGCACGGTAGACTGGAAAAACTAATATTCTTTCTTCTGACCAGACTCTAGTAAATACTGAATTTGTTAAAACAAGCAAGTAAATGGCCACTTTTTACAGAGACTTTCTCTGTACTGTCCTGGGTTCTTCACATGCACTATGTGTATAATATTCTTAACCACCTTATGAAGTATAGGTGCTTTTATGATCCCACTTTAGGGATGAGGAAACAGTTACAGAGAGAGGTAAAGTAATGTTTAAGGTCATATAGATAGGGAGCTGTGATTTTTAAGCCTGTGCTCCTAAATACTATACAGCCTTACCATCTACCAGCAGCTGAAAGGAAGCACATTTTCTCTTTACTGCAGGGTTTTCGGTGTTAAAATTTCAGTGGACAGCACAGGAAGTTCCCAAATTTCTCTGCTAACAGTCTCAGTAGCACTCATGATTCTGTCCTAGACATTTATCCATTCTGCAGTAAGCAGTCCATGTATCTCATGGGCTCTTCCTAGAAATTCTGTTTGAATTGCTTTTTAAAGTCATGCTTACATACTTGTAATCATGACTTTCAGTGAAACATTAAGTGCTCTTTGATAACACGTCAACAAAATGTTGAGATCATGTGCACTGTGTTTCCTGTAGGCGCTGCTGTGGTCACCGTGGTATTGTGGATAAGGCAGTCAGCTAAGATGCAGGAGACGGAGCATCTAGTTCTGACTTGGCAGACAGTATTTAACCCCTCTGGACCTACTTCCCCTTTGTAAAATAAGAGGATTAGACTTTCAATGTCTGAATGACTTAAAAAGATTCAACTGTAACATTCTGTATTAGTAGGAGCTGTACCCATAGCTTTGGGAAAATAAGAGAAGGTAAGAAGAAAAGATCAGATCAGGCTGTTTTAAAAAACTCATAATGATCACTAAGCCAACATTTCTTTTTTTTTCATGGTGCTGTGATCTTTATTCCATTAAATGACCTTAAACCAACATTTCTTGATTCTATTTGAACTTAATTTTAGGGTTGCTGTAATTGGTTTGTTTCCTATTTCTTGAGGTAGAGAAAATTTAAAGAAAAGACATAGACATTCTCCCCCTATAATATGAGCCATCTAAAATATCCTTAAGGCTAGTTAGTGGTCATCTGTTCTAGATTCTGTTGTTTAAAACATAAATCCATTAAAATATCCCAGTGGATTTCTGCCTTCCTTACTTTGTCAGATATTGATACTTTTCTTTAAATGTTTGTTGATTATGTATTTTGAGATATTGTTGGGATCTTTGCTGGTATTGTTGAAGACGAGAGATTATACACAGATGATTGTAGTATGTAGCCCTTCACTTCTGGAAGACAAGTGTGATTACTCATTGCTCAGAGAGATTTTAGATATTTAGATAAAGTTTTATTTATCTGCAGTATTTCAAATAGAATCACTAGCTAATTCTCATACAGATAATGTTTTTCAAGTATCTCTAGAATGGCTGAATCTGGTACAACCTTCTGTGACTTACCATTGAGTCACTCAGTCATGTCCGACTCTGCAGCCCCGTGGACTGTAGTCCACCAGGCTTCTCTGTCCATGGAATTCTCCAGGCAAGAGTACTGGAGTGGGTTGCCATTTCCTTCTGTTAATTCTAAGAAAATCCCTTCTGAGGCTTCTAATAGAATTGTTGCCATCCCATGACAAAGAAGGTAAAATTGAAAAATATTTTCATTAGCGTATTGCTCTGTCTACTCTCTATATCTAATGTGGGGGACTTAATAACTTCAGATGAGAAATCAGAAAAACTTTTTGGGAGAGCAGTGGAACTTAGAATTGTTTTTAACAATAATTTTAATAATATAAATAGAAATATATAACTTGGGGATGAGGCTAAATAAAAGTGTATAAGGCTAATTCTTAGGATTTTATTTTTTGATTATTTTTAAGTTTATATGAATCACTAACAGCAGTGCCTGAAAGATGATGCAGTAAATGGTAATTATTACCAATAGTAATTAATTCTTTCCATAACAGAAAGAAGTGCCTACAAATACAATGTTAACTCACCTTTTAGAATACATTTGAGATGCCTGATATTTAAAATTCCACTGAGCTCTTAAAAGAGATGTGATAAAACTATGCATTTTTTCTCAAAGGACCTTCAGGCCTTCACTGCAAGTCTGTACTCTTGCTCTACAAACAAGTCCATTATACTTGAGCATCTA